TCATAATGGTTTAATGTAGTTTCCATTTACAACAGAGGATCCAGAAAAGACCCAGTCACTGCATAATTCTATAGAATTATCTGAACTTGATACATAAACATCAAAATTGAAATTAATCATCACCAAAAGAAAATCAGCCATGTTTGTATAAAAACCAAGCTGAGGAGCTTTTCGCAATACCTGACCTTGGTAACATGCTGGCAAAACGCAGGGACGGCGATCATCTGGCTGACGAATTGAGGTAGGCGGCCACCAGCGCCATGATGCCGCAGCGGTGGAACATGGGCAGGTTGTCCTCGTTGAGGATAGCGCTGTCCTTTAACAGAAAGCACAGCACAAGGCTTAGGCTCCCAGGTCCCTCTACGGCGCCACTGAGAGCTGCGGGTGGTTTGGAATGCTAACCAAAATGTCACCTTATAAGAAGTTTTTTTTTTTAAATTCTAAAAGGAGAATAAATGCCCATTTATAGAAGAGTAAAATCTCTCAACTAGCTTTTCCTAAGAAAAAATAGTATATGTATATATATATTAAATATATAAACATCTCTCTCTCTCTGATATACATATATAATATATACACATACTCTCACTGCTTACTGTCCTTTTATTACAGAATACTTAACTCCTAACCAAACAACTATATATACATTATTTAATGACTATCTTCCCCACTGAACTCCAAGTATGAGCTCAGGGACCATGCTGTCCTTTCATCACAGTATTTTCCTGGGGACTCGATCAATATTTAGCACACAGTCAAACAAATGCTCATTCAACATTTGTTAACAAAACAAATGCCTATGGTCATTGTCTTGAGTATTATAGATTTAAAACTAGACACTCCCTTTTCAAAATTCATGTCCTTGGATAAGTGCAACAACACTTTAAAGATGCTATCTGTTTCATACAAAAATGTTTTCCTCAATGAAAGGCTACGAAAGCATACCTGTAAAGCAATGGCTAAGCGGATGAGATCAATAACCACCTCTTCATTGGCCAATTCAATTGTCATAAGAGCAAGAGAAGTATAAAGTAACTCATAGTTTTTCTGAACGTTGTCTTCCTCTTTACAGCCCAAGTATATGTGCCGATATAGTTGTTGCCCATTCTGAAAAGGGTCGTGACAGAGGAAAAAGATGTTTGCTTAAAATGCAGTAAAGGCAGATTTCACATGCATATAACCTCTTATAAAGTAACTATCTTATTACACAACATACGGTGGAAGAGAAATTTAAACTGATAACTACATGGTCAAATTGTATCCCCATCATTAACATCAACAAATATACCAGCATACAACTACAAACTAACAGAAGAGTTGAAGAACAAGCCTTAAATAAAAACAGCAAGAAAAAGTTTTAGTGTCAACAATGAAAATATTTTTAGTAGTATTTGAAAAGACAAAAGCAAATTGCAGATTGATATAAGCAAAAACTAAAATGGATGGCAGGGTTAGGGGGGCCTTGGTAATGATGGGGGAATCTGGCTGAGGGCGAAGGTGCTAAGCTGCCTTGTCTGAGAGAGGAGCCTCCTGGGAGGTGGTTAGCGCTTGTCCAGGGAAGAGCCTTGCAGGTTCAGCTATGCGCTGGCATGAAGTCCCCAAAGGCAAGTCTGAAGCTGACACAGAGGGAGAGGTTACAGAAATTCCCAGGGACTGCGCAGAGGTTTCCCCCAAACCAAGCCAACCTCAATCTATTAATAAAGTATGGCTTCATTTCAAGGCCATATGTCAATATAAAACTACCTAACTATTCAAATGGCTTTCACTTACATCATTATTTAACTTATATCATGCATTATTTTTTAGAAGATAATCTCACCTTTTTCATGAAACTTGTGTCTTGTCTACAGATTTTTTCTCTTTTGATCTTTAGGTCAGCTACATCAGGTATTATTCTAGAGATAATCAATATATGATTTTTAATAAACAGCACATTTAGTTATAATATTATGGGTTATGTGGCAAATCAAGAGCTATACTTAGGAGTCTGAACTATGTAACACTCATTTCAATGAGCATGTTAAGTCAGTCTATTATGTAATCATATCACTGACTTAGGAAGTTTAATTAAGAATTTTATAAAGTAATCCTAATGCCATTTCTAAGTTTAAAGCAAAATTAAAATTCATGTAACTAGTAACCACTAGTAGTTGAGATCTTTGAAAAGACCTCTAAACATCTGCTATCTTAAACTATACTGATAATTAAATGCTCTTGATACCAATTAAATAAAACTCTGGATTAATAAAACCTGAAAATCCTAGATTTAAAAATATCACTTAAATACATGAATGTAGAAACTAAAAAACATCATCATTAAGCCTATTTCAAGATGGCGCACTACCTGATCCCTCGAAGCTTTGCCCTGTTGTCGTGGCGATCCATGAGGTTATGCATCACTTCCAAGACTAACTGTCTCAATTCATAGTCCTCCATGAGGGATGGTGACAGCAGAGGATCCAGAAAAGACCCAGGTAGCGCAGTAACAATCGTCTTCGCTTTGTACCCAGAGGTGACCTGATTACAGGGAGGAAGATCAAAGAAACAAACAAAGCACCTTTGTCATGAGTCCTTGTCTGGTAAAATTCTCGAAACTGTTTTATGAGAGCCATAAACTAAGGGGAACGAGTATGGACATCAGCCTGAATAAAAAAATAAAAGTTTTGTAAGGTGATGAGGATTTTACTGAATTTACGAAAACATCATTCGTAAAGAGAGTAACCGTAATGACAGCCCCCATTTCCCACATGCCAGGCAGGGTCTAAGCACCACGTGCATCAGCTGCATCCTCCCCACATCACTGTGAGGTGGGCATGCGTGCATTCCCACTTTATACGAGAAAACGGAGAACGGAGGGTCAGAGAGGTTAAGAACATATGGGATAGGTAATCAGTACTACATGAATGTAAGATTAGCTAGCAAATGGTTCAAGTAACAGCTGAAAATGTTTAAATTATTATTTTAAATTAAGCAGCTTAGGTTAATAGGAACACATTTTCAGTTTGGAAAGTGGTACTTTATTACATACTTGATTTGACATTTCTGAGTGAACCTCTATATTTTAAATTTTAAGCTTTTCATATCTTCAGCGTATCTTAAATGCTGTTAAACATTTTAACCATACCACACAGACCTTCCTTCAGCTGACTATGTGGTACAATTAGGATTAGGTCAAGATGATCTACTAGGGAATTTGTTTAATGAAAAATAGGACCAGATAAAATTTGAGGTGGCAATTTAAATGTACATTTATATTTGTAAACATATTTGGAACATGTATTATAGGATGGAGGTGACCTTATAAGCAAGCAAAGATATTGGTGGGACAACTACTACCCCCCTAAAAATTAAAAATATATCCATGTCCCACACAACATATAAAAATAATCTTCAGATCAAAGTTTTAGATGTAGAAAGCCAAATTTTAGAAACTTTTGTAAGAAAATATAAACAAATGTGCTTATGTCATCAGAAGAGGCAAGGAATGAAGACACAAATAAAAAAGAACAAAACACAGGAATGAACTGATAAAGTTGGCTATATTATAATTTAAAATTTCTTTATGACAAGTACCATAAACAGGATTAACATGAAAATCACATAAGATGTTTCTGTACTTCTCCCTAGGTATGAAATATTCCTTTTAAAAGATGAAATTATGGACAAAAGATGTTCAGATTAAATTGTGAGAGACTGACAGGGAAAGGACACATTCCCAACAGTAAGCCCCGACCAGCATTATGTGAAGTGTCGCTGAGTAAAAAATGAACATAACTACTATGAAATAAGCACAGGGCCTTCCATGTTAGATATGCTTTTCCTTTTCAGCTACTTATAGCTGAATTATTTCCCAAAGAAGAAGCCACTATTGGGTCAGTGTGTGAAAGAATAGCATGATCCATAGACAAACACTGGATTTCAAGCCCAAGCTCTATTCTTTAGCTCCGTGACGTGGTGAACCTCCTCCAGGGCAAGTCCCTGAGCCCAGGCATCTCCATCTATTACAGGGCAATACTTCCTGTCCTCTGTATGTTTCATCATCATGAATGTCAAATAAGACGACAGGAGAAGTAAGGAATAAATAGTAAAAGCATAATAAAATACAAGAAAATGAAAGCTAATATTTACTTACACAAACCACAGAGAAAACGAACCATAACTAGGACCTGACTATGTAAGAAAAGAGGCTCCCAATGGGAAGCTGCTTTCACCTCCTCAGTCATGTGAGGAGGAGGGCTCTCACCTGTCGCAATGTCTTACCATAAGCAAGGATCTCAGCAACATGATCTGAATCCGCCTGGTTCCCAAGTCCCTAAAAGATACAGCAAACTAGCATTATCTCATTAATAGTAATTAACATTCACATTACTTCATCTACTTATTATTCACTGATTTTAAAACTCTACTCATATTGGCTAAATAGATTTTAATCATAGCTAAGTCATGGCTCCCTTTATACTCTAAGTTTAATATGAATTAAAGAGCTATATGTAAAAAAATAAAATTCAAACAAAAATATTAAAGTTATTGGCTCTCAAAGGAAACAGACCTATGCATGTAATGACATGAAAATTAAATCATATGAATATATAACAAAACAACACAAAAAGATACTATACGTTGGGAAATATATTTACTGTAAATATAATTAATTGACTAATATATTTAAGAGGTAAAACCAGATGATTCAAAAAACAATTAACCAGTGGAAAATGGGTTATCTAATTAACAAAGAAATATAAATCAAATAAGACTATTATTTCCTTACTAAAGTAGCAAAAAACACAAAAATATTCACAAACTAAAGCTTTAGCATGTTTTAAAATCAAATCTATAAAATGAGGTGACCAAGACATACGATCTTTAAAATCACTTTCAGTTTTAGAATTGTAGGAATAAGTCAACATTCCTGCTATACTGATTTTAATTATTAAATTTTTACAGAAAACTTGAAGCTTTACCCTAAATATCCATGTATATAGACAATATCCAGGCTAAATAAACCTTCCACCTGGTCCATAAAAGACACAGAAAATTAGAGAATTTATGATATGCTGAAAACTGATTCTAAAAGCACACAATGCTGATTCAATTACTTAGCAATCTAGCACCATAAACATACTACTTTCCACAGAACTTTTAGTACTAATGATTAAAGAAACAATACAACACTTTCTAGATTTCTTTAAAATGAAATTAAACCAAGATTAAGTTGAAATTTATAGTTGGAAAACCACATATGCATACCCTAGTTGACTGACGTCCAAAGTATGAGTGGATGTTCCAAAAACTGGTACCTTCCCCATAATGAACATCATGATTTCTGACCTCTGATAATCTGGTAGGTTACTTCCAAAGAACCCTATAAAAATATTAAGATAAATTTTACAAATTGAAATTTTCCATATAGTAAAAAAATATTTTAAACCAAATCTTTCAATATGTGGTAGACAATGTCTTTAAACACTAATGATATTAAAATTTCATTTAATCAAAATCATTTAATCATAGACAATATAAGATTTATATAATGGACTAATAAGTCTTTTGCATATAGTAACAGTGGCAAATCATCAATTTGAGTTGAAGTTTTAGAAAAAGGGAAAAAAACACCTTTTGTTAGTATTTCTAATGAACTCTTGTTCATATGCTGTGAGCCTACTTTCTTATTCTAGTAAGGAAGTCAATAATGAGGACACAGGTAAAGAGGTCAATAATTAGGTCACTACCTTGGTTTCCTGGGATTGTTAAATGTTTTAGAATGTCATAATGGGCCAAGATACAGTTTAACTCTGTGAGTTAATTCGAAACACATAATTCAGCTGATGTTAAAAAACAGTAACTTGTTTGTCATTTTTCTCACGAACTCTTGGGTTTTGTGGATATTTTAAGCTTACCTGCTCTAGGTTTTGAAGGTTTACTTCCTGGTCATAAAATATTTACAAGATTTAATTAACACTTACTCAAACTTCAAACTTTTTGTTTCTTTGTAAGATCAGAACAGATATCAAATCATGGCTATTTTTGTTCAGATCTTAAAATGTACAACACAATCATTACAGAGACCTTCTGACTTGTCATCAGCCCCTATTATCTATAAATATAAAACCCTAATATGCAAATAGACCGAACAGGGGAACAATCAAACAACCAGTCGCTATGATGTGTGCTGACCCACCAGGGGGTGCGCACGGAACATGGTGGGTGTTGGCAGCAGGCGGCAGAGCTCGGAACATGGCAGGCATCGGCCATGGCGGGATGGTGGAACAGGTAAGCGGGGACACCAGACCAAGGTGGGGTGCTGGTTGCTGTCATCGGGGCGAGCCTCTGGTGGTTACTGAAAATTCTTTGCTCTCATGCACTGCGGTCCTGCTGGGTGCTTGCACCTGCTGCTGGTGCCAGAGCCACTGCTCACAACCGCTGGCCCCGATCGTTTGACGCCCTCAGCAGTTGCGAGCGGCAGCTGCCGGCTCTGATCACCCCTCAGGGCTTCTCCACCTCCCCCTGCTCCTGAGGGGTGATCGGGGCCGGCAGCTGCCTCTCGCACCCACTGCCGGCGATGGCCCCGCTTCTGGTGCCAGCCCCAATCACTTAACGCCGTCAGCGGGTGCGAGTGGGGCCAGCGCTGTCAGTGTGT